CACTTAATTTTATGACTTTTTAACTCAAAAGGGTATGCCTTATATTGAATGCCACAACCATATATGCATGCAAATTAGATGGTGCCAAGTAATCAAGAAAATATTTAAGCTGAATTCTTCAATCTCTACTATTAAAGGGGGATCGAACGTCGTGATGGTTCGACCTCCTTCAATCCCCCTCCTTCGCTCCTCCCCTCGAGAAATCCCGCACCTAAAAGATCGCTAGAAAAGAATCCACATTCACAACCAACCAGCCTCCCACCCCCTATGATTCCCACTTTTCAGGTAAGATAAAAAGAAAAAGAAAAAGAAAACGCTCCCACGATCCCTAAGGCGCCCGCTCAACACCCCCACGACCCTCCTCTTTCACTTCCTCTCACGAACGGCCTCCGTCTGCTCCGCCGCTGGTTCCCCTTCTCCATCTGCAGTCACACGCCCACACCACACCCCTGTTTCCTCCTTCCTTCGGGCGGTCACCTTTGCTCCTCCGCCTCGCGAACGGGGTCAGTCGATGTGGCCAATGGAGTTTGCGAGCCCCGGCAGGGCAGAGTCAACCGCCAATACACGATCCACCGGCACCCTCCGTCGCCCTCACACAGCGCCAGCCGCTTCCCATGTCTCTAGAGAGCATGAGTGGCCAGGGAACAATGGAGTAGCCGTGGCCTGAGAAAGAGAGCACAACGATGGTCTAATTCCTCTATGTCTATCCATGTTGCGTTGTGGTAATCTCTCTCTCTCTCTCCCTCTCTCTCTGGAACACACATCACACAGATTAATGAGGAGATGAATCAGAGCATCTCGATCATGATCCGTCTCTGCCTGGTGATCAACCCTCATCTGGTCTGACGTCCCAATCGTTGTCGTTTGGATCGATTTTCTTCAATTTGGCCGATAGGGATCGGAATGAACTGGAGGGATGATGTTCTTAGCATCCTGCTACAACGATGCGGATATACTCATTGATCTAGCCCCACTCGCCCCGACTGCCAGGACGCCCCCAAGTCGCTCTTCAAGCTGCAGGCACGCAATCCTCTGTTCCTCAACCTATTTTTCTTCTGCATTATTATTCACGTTTGGACACCTGCATGGTCAAATTAGAACACAAGTTGGTGTCCATAAGATTGAAAGCACATGTGGCTATGTGTGTGTAAGAGTAATAATGATAGGCAAAACCACAACAGAAGTATCAACCCATATATCTGGAACATCCTCTGTGCCTGTGCGTACAAAAAATCAGAGTCCCAAAAGCTGATGGCCAGGGCAAGACCGCTCGTCTCGGCTTCGCAGAATCGCAGCCGAGGGCGACGGTGACGGCTGCCAGCTGCTCGTGGGGCTAGCGGAGGGCGCGGCTGGGGCACGTGGTCGATGCTTGGGACATCTGCGGAGCGGCGTGCGCACGAGTGTAGGGCAGCAGTAGCCAGGGTGGCAGGAGAGGACCCAGGACACGTTGTGTTCATGTAGTTTTCCTCTTTGTATCCTCTAGCTCTGACTACGGTTTCCTCATGCATCCTGTAGCTCTAAGAATGACTTGTGCAGATAAAGATGAAAAATCTAGGGGAAGATTTTGGTGAGCAAGAAGAACAAGGTAATTTATTTCTGGTCAACAAAACAAGTTTGTTCCTACACTTTCATGTTATGATTAGTGCTTATTCACTAACAATGGAAGTACTGATGGGTATAGCATGGTCTGACCAAGAGAAAGAATACTTTTCTACAGGCTATTTTATTAATGATAATGATAAAATATCATCATGGAATATTAATATAAGATCATAGTACGTACTTTCTTTGCTTGATATATGTATATTACATTCTGTATGTATATGCTCATGCCATCAAAAGTCTTTATTTCCTAGAGATAAAACAGCTAGCTACATTATCACACATTTTATATGTTCGTTTACACTAATGATTCTAATATTTGTTTAGCAATCTTTTGCAGATTTTGAGGTTGCCCCATTCCATATTGTTGAGCTTCGTAAAAATGGAGAGGGGACTTGTTGCGGATTCATCATCTATGATCTCACGTTTCAAATTTATCATTCCATTTTTTTCAAACATATTGAATGAGTTTGACTCTTAGTACTCTTACATAAGTGCCAACATTCATAATGTAGTTATACATGAGTTTATCATTATAATTCAAATACGGTTTTCTAATCTTTCACAAGTGCAACAAAACAGATAAGATATGCTACTGAGCTTTCATATTGGACCGTCAATGCTACTTATTGTAGATATGTTGCTACGCTCTTAAGCTTTCATATTAGGATTTTAACATTCCTTAAGTACTTCCCTTTAATTACTCCTAGCCTTCAAGGTATGATGATCAGGGTCATGTTTCACTAATTAACTGATGGATTTGTGCAAATATTTTGGGATCAACTGAAAAGAAAATTCAACTTCTTGATTTCCCAATTTAGTGAACCAGATCAAAGAGTTGTGTAGCCATTAGATGGACAGCTTCATACTGGCGTAAGTATTCATGACGCTGTAATATAAGGCTTCTTTACCTTCTACTTATATTTGCTACTGTAAAGGAGAAACCATCTATCTTGGTGTGCCATTGTTTTTTTAAGGGAAGGTGTGTTATTGTTATATTTTGTAAATTGTAACCAAGCATATGAAAGATTTGGTATATGGTTCTGTTGGTCAAAAGTCATTATTCATGTTTCAAGGGGATGACATATACCTTTAAGCAAAACATGAAGCAGACTTTTGCTTTAGGTACTCCCTCCATGAAATATAATGTCCCTGACTTTGCTTCTGCGACTTTGGTCATTTCTATATACAAAAGTACATGCATTGGACATGTATAAATTGTATTGTCTTATTTTTCATGCAAAACAATTTTATTTCATATATGTTTATACTAATTTTGTAGACATACAATAAGTGATAATAATTATTAAAGTTGTGAGATGAAAATCAGATAAGTAGTATTAGAAAGGAAGGAGTACTATTTATTGGCGTCATTTAATATCTAAATATTTTGTTTCAAATAAACTGCCAAATTTAGTCATTAACTTTTCTTTCCTGTGGCATGCACGTGCCTCTAATCTTTATGGCGTTGACCGATGTACCTAGACTGTACATGGAATCCTAATGATCTTCACTGCCAATTACACCAGGTAACAGATTGCTTCAATAAATCTTTTGTCTGCGACGCAATTAAAATGGTGTGACGCGGACAAGGAAATGAATTGTAAAAGTAATAGAGTTGACACTTAAGTTTCTGATTCAATTTTAGTCTTTGAAAGTCATCATAAAAAACTTATTCATAAAACTTAGCGATCATAGAACTTCTATGATACGCCTAAATAAATAATGTATTTGCTATAACCAAACCGATCAGATTATCTTATACCCAAAGTAAGCACATCAAACATTGAATAGTGCAATGATTTGATTGGTTACATCATTATTTTTTGATATCTCCCGTGGCAACGCACGGGCATTCGACTAGTATAGTGTAGTTTGCTTATGTACCTCTCATTCCGAAGCAATTCTTTGACTTTTTTTGTGAGCTGTCCCACATTCAACCCTTTTGCATTGAAATCCTCTTTAATTTCAAAGATAATGTTCTTCAAAACAGTCTCTACATTGGGATTCCGGCCCATTGGAACAAACACTTTAGGATTGTATCTTTTACGCTTGTATTTGTCATACACTGCCTTGGCAAGCGTGGTCTTGCCCAATCCTCCCATTCCAACGATAGAGACTACCCTGAGCTTTTCATTTGGTACATTGTCATGCTTCTTAAGTAGCCTTATTATCTCCTCTCTTGGCGCTTTGATGCCAACGAGTCGTTCTTTATCTTCTTCATGTATAGCAGAATTCCGAAGGTCGTCAATGGCGGCTTTGGTAGCTGCTTTATCCACATCACCTTTGACATTAATGTTGTACTTCTCTTTCCTTTTGTCCAGAGTCTTAACATTGGCCTTGATTTCTCTAATCACGTCACTAATCTGACGGTGAGTCGTCATGCCATTCTGCACTAGCTTTACACTGTCATGCATGATCTCCTTGAAGCCTCTCCTACTGGAGTTAGGCACGATGTGCACCAGGAAGTTATCGACCATATCCTCTATGTTATAAGCAAGCTCTCTAACTTCGTCAACCCAGTTCTTGGCCTCATAATCATTTTTCAGCTTTGGGAGGTCTCGGTGCATCTTTCTCAGATCTTGTGAGAAAGACTCGATATCACTCTTGATGGTCGTATCTAGACTGTAGTCCTCCGTGACGAGCTTGCCTAGCTTGTCAAGCAGGCTGCCCATAGCCCCCCTTGTGTGATCCACAGCTCGGTGCCCCTCCTCCCCTAGGTACATCGTGTTGGTAGGAGAAGTACGTGAAAAGCTTTGTGGTGGGTAGAATTTGTACTGCAGAATAATGATGTACTTCTATATTAAAATAAAGCCATTTTATGAATAGTGATTATTGAATAGTGATTATTGGAGTACTAAGCTTACCATGCAAGCTGCCTCTGCTTTTCGGCTGCTACCAAGTTTTCCATTGCAGAAGAAGACTCGCCAATCTTTCTCTTCTTCAACTGGGCGAACATATATTAATTCGTCAAAAACTGTCCAGGAGAATGGGACAAAACATAAATACAAGCACATTAAGACGAGTCACAATTAGTCACCTCGGGAACTTCCTCAGCTGATGTGTTGGTGTCTCCTCTACGCTTGCGAGGGTGCTTGGATACAAGGGACTATTTTTAGTCTGACTAAAAATAGTCTCTTTTAGAGGCTAAAGTTCCAAGCACCCCTGACTAAAAAGAGGCTAGGACTAGTCTTGAGGCTAAAATCTTTTAGTCATGGGAAACCTACTAAAATATGTATTAGCTCTCTCTCTCCTCATTTAATTCCTCTCCTTAGTTCTGGATTGGAGGGTTTGGAGGATAATAAATGCTCAATAACTAGATTTTAGTCTCTTTAGTATTTGGATCCAAGCATGGATGAGACTAGCAAGTTTTAGTCCCACTACTTTTAGTCATGGGACTAAAACGTATCCAAGCATGCTCTGCAATTCTCTTGGGGCCTCGTGGGCTCATTTACAACCATCAAATCCACCTCATCGACAACTTTCTCGGCCTTTGCACGGGATATGCATTCTGTGATATCCTCTTCTATAAGACCCTCGCTCCATTTCATGCTTTGCACGATGAACTTGTCAGTATCGTCATGTTCACGAGCATCTCGTGGCTGCACTGTTATCTTCACATAACACTTGGATTTTGATTGCACAGTGCCTTTTACTGGTTGCGATATGTACTTTACGCTTGGCGGTTGGATGTTGAAGGCAATGCAATTAACTGTATCGTTGGTTAGCTCAATTGAGTGCGATATCTCGTTCTTCAGCTCAGAAGGCAGCCGTAGTTCGAGCGGATTAATCCGAAGCATGTCATCTTCATCTAAACAAGGGATTACCTGCGATGAAAGAGCTATATGTGTTAGATGGTGATGTATATATATTGAGCTTGTATATATGTACAATGGGACAAATTTTCCCTACTACCGGGTGTAGTTATTCCACTTTTGTTTCGTAAGTTTCAGGTAGTATTTATAATATCGAAGTGTATGTATGTGTAGTATATAGTATATAAGAATGTTTAGGTAGTATATATATTAATTCTTGGTAGTATGTACCATATTTTAAGCATACTTCATTCTACATATAAATATATACGAATTTCACAAATACAACTGATGGCACCATTTTTCTAGTTAGTTGATGTCACCAATAACCAGAAGGACCAGAGAACTCAACTAATAACACAGCACATTGTAGCCATCATTTTGTCCATCTTTGCCAAACACACTTGAGTCTGCCGTCTCGGTACAACCCCCTCACAAAACGTACAAAGCGTAATATTGATTTTTCACACTGTATTCCAATAGCAACGAGAAGGATCGGAGATCTCAACTAATAACACAACACTGGAGGCATCATTTGGTCCATCTTTGCCAAACACACTTGAGTCTGCTAAATTCGTTTTCTCGACGAGTCCCGCTTCGGTACAACCCCTCACAAAACGTATAAAGGGTAATATTTTGCCAAACACACTTGAGTCTGCTAAATTCTGGAGCCATCATTCCCGCTTCGGTACAACGCCCACACAAAACGTATAAACGGTAATATTCACTTTTCACATTGTATTCATAGTGCGAAAAATAGAGACAAGCAAGCGCAGTAGGTGAGAATCGATTATGGGACTTCAACCTTGCCAACGAGCGGAGCTAGTCACTACAAACAACGGCTGCTGGTGACTTTGTTAAGCACAAACCTTTTAAGAATTGACTGTAATGGTAATATTCAATATAGCGCTTTCTTTGCGGCACCGTACATATTTTTTAATTATTTAAAAAACATATAGGAAAACAAGAACAGGTTTTTGAGTAAAATGTGAATAAAATTTGAAAATTCTGTATATTTTTCAAAAACTCAAACATTATTGGAAATTTCGAACATTTTTAAAACAGGAACACAATTGGAAACTATGTCATTTTCCAATATTACGAAGATATTTTTTTAATTTGTGATTTTTTCAAACTAGAACATTTTATGAAAATCTCCCAAAAAATTTGTAATTTGAGAACAAAGTTTAAAACATGAAATTTTTTTGAATTTGTGAACAAACTTGAAAAACAGAGACATTTTTAAATTTCCATAAATTTTTTGGGTTTTGTGAGATTTGTTTTTCTGAACTTCCGAATATTTTTAAAAAGAAAACAATTTCTAAAATATTTGAAGAAAATTTGAAACCGGCACAAATTGTAAAACATGGAATATTTAAAATAATAATTTTAAGTACCTGTTTAAATTACGATTTTGAGTATTTTTTTGGCTTCGATGCCTACCATGTGCATACCCACCTCGCAAAAGTTTATATCATTTCAAGAATGTCTACAAAACATCATGCTGAACGTAGGGTGTCGGGTAGGCCACAAGGCTCCGTTTGAAAGCACGTTGTATCTCGACATCTGTTAAATGACTTTAATTTTTTTTCATTGGCTTGTATGACCAATTCGAGGCACCATGCCAAATTATTTTGTTTTATTTACATATTTTGTATTTTTTTATAGTTTTCTTGGTCAAAAAAGGACGATAAATGGTTCAACGTGTCGCAACTTGCATATGGTGTCAGAAAATTGTTCAAACTTGGCATGGATGCCTTTCATGGGCATGACCATCTGCTAGCAAAAGTTGGAGTCATTTTATGCATGTCCAAAAATAGACCATGTTTGGGTTGGCCAGAAGGATCGTATGAGAGCACCTTTTTCAGCATCGTCAAATGACCCGAATTTTTCCCATGATCTTATACGACCATTTCAAGGCAACATGCCAAGTTGTTTGAGTTTTTGACATTTTTTGCATTTATGAAGTATTCTCATTGAAAAATGGTTGGACGTGACGCAACTTTCATACGTTGTCGGAATTCGCTCAAAGCTGGCATGGATGCCTGTCAAGAGCATTCCCACCTGCTGGTAAAAGTTGGTGTCATTTCATTTATGTCCAAAAATAGATCGTGTTCAATGTAGGGTGTCCGGGTAGCCATAAGGGTCCATATGAAAGCACGTTTTTTCGGTATCGTCAAATGATCCAAAAAAAATTCCTGAGCTTACATGACCAATTAAAGGCACCATAAAAAGTTGTTGGAGTTTTCAAAATTTCTTGGATTTTCTAGAGTGTCTTCATGAAAAATGGTTAACAAATGGTCGGACGTAATACAACTTAAATCATTAAACCTGTCATGGATGCCTACTATGGGCATGCTCACGCGTTGACAAAAGTTGGGGTCATTTTATTTATGTCCAAAAATAGATTATGTTCAACGTGAGGTGTCCGGGTAGGTCAGAAGGATCCGTATGAGAGCATGTTTTTTCGGCATCGTCAAATGGACCCAAATTTTTCATGATCTTATATGACCAATTATATGTGACAGGCCAAGTTGTTTGACTATTCGACAATTTTTCATTTTCTGGAGTTTTCTCGGTGAAAAATGACCGGTAATTAGCCGCACATGATGCAATTTGCATACAATGTCGGAATTCGTTCAAACTTGTCATAGATGCCTAATGTGGGCATGCTAGTAAAAGTTGAGGTCATTTTATGTATGTTTAAAAATAGACCTTATTCAACATAGAGTGTTCTAGTAAGCTAAAACGATACTATGAGAACTTTTTCTTGAAAATGTTCATTCTTTAAAAAATGACAAAATGTGTTCAAGTTGTTTAAAAAATTGTTGGATTTTAAAAATCATTTGAGTTTAACAAATCTATTCAGAATTGCCAACAAATGTTTGAAAAAACTAAAAAAGTGTTCAGATTCTACATTGTTACTCCCTCTGTCCGGGTTTATTAGGACATCAAGCGCATGTCCGTTAATTAAGGACCGAACCAAGCACGAGGGGTCACGTGAAGCTTTTAATTTTTTTCCAGTTACACCGTTGGAGTAAAACACGGTGGCGTTACATGCAGCAGCGAGTGCATGCGTTGGCTTTTCCCTCCGATTGGGCATGGAGCCACGATTAGCACGCATCACTAGCAGCCTTGATTACCGGCATTAAATAACAATTACAGGCATTAACGGGCGCTGCTACGCGTCAGCCGGTGAATGTTTTCAGAAGATCTGCCGCCTCGCGAGCCGTCGGATCTGACGGATTAAGCGGTTGAGGGTCACGTTCTACCATCGCAACACATGCGTGTTACAGAAAATTTCCGTATCATAGGTTATGTTGCGGAAAATTTGCAACATAGGTCAAGCTGCAGATTATTTCTGCAATAGATGTCTTGTTACAATTTTTTTTTTGCAACAGAGGACATGTTGCAATTTTTTTTTGGCAACAAACGTCTCATTGGAATTTCGTTTGTTTGTAAGAGGGGTGTTGTTACAACTTTTTTTTGGCAACAAAGACCTTGTTGCAGAAATTCGCATAGCGAGCAGCAAGCGGCGACGGGGGATGGACGCAGCTCCTCATGGTGGATGCAGACGCCGATGCTTCCTAGGATGGCGGATGCAGCTTGAGTTCGGGCGCACCGCAGCGGTGGTGCCCATGCCGGCAGCAAGCGTCGGTGGTGGCGGTCGAAGCAGCACGAGGAGGCATCGCCTTGATGGGGAGCTCGGGAGGAGCACAGGTGGCCACTGCTCTTGTCGGGATCCAGGTCCAGATCCCGCAACACAACAACTGCTGCGGTGTAGGAAATGCAATAATGACCCAGTTGCGAAATCTAGTCTGGGTAATACGTTGTCACTAGGCATCTGATTAAAATCATATTCAACGGCCACGAAGGCGGTGGATGTGCATGTCGTTATTCGTCGGGTGATCCTAGTCATTTCCGTTAAATAACATGAGAAGTGGAGCCGGACGCGCTAGCCACAAATATGGGCACTAATCTTTCCGTAAGGAATCTGGACGGTTTTGAGTATTTTATGCCGCGATTACTAATCGCAGCGTTTTGATCCAACGACCGCGCTATTTTAAAAAGCACCCTTTATTATGAAGGTGTAATTCGGCGAAGGGCAGCATTCTACAGCCGTCACCAGTGGGCCGGTCCAGCCGGCGTATACTTTTTGGTGGGATAGCGACATGTATTTTAAAAAGGACCGAGAGTGACGTTTTGGCACATGGGAGCGCGCGCTCCTGGTTTTTAAAATGTGTTTGAAACATATTTTGAAATGTCAAAAAAGTTCAAACAAAAATTTGGGGCATACTTCTCAATATTGTACATGCTCACAAACTCGTTTCGCGAAAAACCGACAACTTATGTGTTGCCTGTGAAAAAGAGAAAATCCGATGTTGAATAGTGTTTTTCACAATACATTCTTTCGTCTTTTTTACCCTAGCCACAAAAAATATTAATTTTCACCAAAACTTGACGTGCACACATGTAATATCAAGATGTATGCGCCAAAATTTTGTTTGAATTTTTTTTCACCTTTTGAAATGTATTTTTCGCGTGCAGGAGCGCACGCTCCCCAGAGCACTAATGGATTTTTATCATCGTACCCTTTATTATGAAGGGGTATCATGAAATCTCCACCGTTGATGTGTTCAAGGGGGTTGTACTAAAGCAGAAGTGTTTATGGAAAGAGCAATGCTACATCTACGAACAAGTTAACGAAAGGCTACGTAATTAGCCACATGGCAGATTGTGATTGAGATGGAGGAAGGAGGGGCCCACCCCACTTAAAATCAGGGGGCCGAAGAGAATTATCAAAGGAATTTTTACGTAACCTTTCGTAACTTGTTTCGTAGGTGTAGGATTGTTGTTATGGAAAGGAGAACAGTTTTATGAAGTGTTAAACGGTCAATTATGTCAACTCTAAGGTTGTGTTAATTTGCATGGTTCCAGATTCAAATACATAGGTTAGCTAATCATAAGCTTGCTAGGTTAGCATAATCCCAAAATTTTGGTTTACAACTATTCTCCCTTTCCACAGTTTGATTACAAGGTGTCTTAAATTAGCTAGCTTACCTGGCCATATGTGCTTTCAGATTCACCCAGAAAGCTGATTATCTTCAATATAGAAGGTCTAGCTTCTGGTTTTTCTGCCCTGCAAAATCCTGCTATTTCAATGCATCTAGTCACTTGCTGGTATTGCAATAATGTCGGTGGCTTCCCCCACCTATGCCTCCACCTTCGAAGTACCTGCACTTAAACAAATGTTGATTATTATTTGTAATAATACCAAAATCTTACTGTATAAATATGTCCATTCAGAAACATGATGTTTATATTAGATAGGACATTCAGTAGGGTAGTCTGCATATTAAAGTGCAAACATAAAATGCATGCTTATGCGAACAAGTGAGAGAAATCACCCTTACATTATCTTTGCAAGGGACTTCCATACACCCTGTTACCAATTCCCTGATTATGGCACCCAAACTATATATATCACACGCAGGTGTAGTTTTGCTACCTTCCCTGTATTCTGGAGCCATGTATCCACTGCAAAGACAAGACGATCGTGTGATGTATTATGACACAAGTAAATGCGGGACCGTAATGATAGAAAAATTTCAATTGGGGGGTTCTTCTTATTTATGCATAGCTTACCGTGTTCCGTAAAGTTGACCTACAGTGTGCGAGTTTTTATTTGGTCTTGATAGACCAAAATCCGTGATTTTTGGAACTATATATTTGTAATTTTGATTATCAAGTAATATATTTTCCGGTTTAAGGTCCATGTGAATCATCCTTTTTTCCTCATGAAGATAACGCAGGCCCTTGCAAATCCCGATGATTAATTCATAACGTGTTTCCCATTCAAAGCCTCTTAATTCATCTGCAGAAGAATATATACATAGAAAAAGGGGGTTATATACCTAATTGTTTGAGAACGGATGCAATAAGGTAAGTAACAAGTATAGAGTAGAGGTGCACCAAATGAAATGAGATGGTACGTACCGGTAATATGCTTATCCAGGCTTCCATTGCTGATGTACTCGAAACAAAACAATCTTTCTCTCACGTTAGCCAAGGTGATTTCTCCTGACACAGAGTTTCTTATCTGTTTCTGATGTATGTTAGAACAGAAGCCAAGATACCGGACTACATTTTGATGATTCATGTTGCACAAGCTACTAAACTCACGACCAAATTGCTTGTCATCATCATCAAGCTTATCTAAGTTTACATAGATCCTCTTCACGGCAATAATCAGTTCTCCTAGTACACCCTGTTGTGTGTTCCTGGACTCGATTAGGATATTTATTTAAAAATAAGTAAATTTCTAACTAAACGGTAAAGAAGTGTACCTCGTAAACCGCTCCAGATCCACCCTGGCCGATTTTTCTGCCTTCAGAGAAATCATTCGTGATGTCCTTTAAGAGTTGTAATGGTAGATCCGTTGGGTCGTCGGCTCCGTCAAGTATACGCTGCAGCATACGTTGGTCCTCCTCCAGTCTCTTTCTTTTGAGAGGAAGGTCATCCTCCATGAGTCTGCAAGGTACATGCATGAAAGAATTAGTTAAACTATGAGAGCCTGCTAGCTCTTACAGATGCTCACCGGCTAGATGCTACCTCGTACAGATCCTGGCTCGTACGTACGGATGCTCAGCCGAAATCTGGCCGGAGCGGAGCAAACCAAGGTGCTAGCCGATCGAGAATCGATAGGGATGACCGAGTCACCAGGGCTTTGCTCTCCTCCTCTTGTCTTGCCAGCGTATATGGAGCTCGCCGGTGACGGAGCAGCTGGAGGAAGGTGAAACACTAACTAAGGTGACTTGACTCGGATCCTAGGCGCGTGTGGTGGACAGTTGCGTGGACAGCATGTGGATCCTAGTGGATAGGGCGCATGTGGTCTAGGCACATCCTTTTACTACTGTGACAGGAAGAAAACCTTTTCTGCACGAAACTAGTAGTAGCGACGTGCGACGACTTTGACCATTGGATTCGTTGCGACTTGCATTGGTCTCCGATTATGACGCTTGGTTAACTCAAGTTATGGATCATTTAGTTGGTCTATATACATGTGCGCGCTTCTAGATTATTTGACCAGGTACGTACTAGGCGATTGGCGATCGATTCACAACTCGCAACGAATCCAATGGGTTTTGAGATTCAGAAGCTAGCTGTTTGTTTGCCATGCTGTAGAAAAATCATGAGTACTGTCAAATGTCTGCAATGCTCCTGATTTTTTTTTTAAAACGGAGGCAAAAGTTTTGTCTCATCTCATTAATAAAGAAGAAGAGAGCTGCCCGGTTAATATTAACGGAAAACCTGGCAAAAATCGTCACACATGCCCACACAGGACACACGGTGACCTGGCCACCCGCACAAGAATGCACACACGCTGCTGAGGAGAAAAAGCGTCGTCGAGGTTGCAGCCCGGCGTCATCGTTATCACACCTCCGCGAGGGCGACTCTGACTCCATCATTGACAACCGCCGAAGAAGCCCTCACCGCAAACAAGTGTCGAGGCATGCGCCGGCCGATGCCAAACAGTCAGCCACACGCGTCGGCGACCAGACAGCTCCGACTCTATCAACGAGCATCCCAAGGGAAAAGCGTTGGGCTTGTGCCGAGCCAGCGCCAGAGCTAACTACCCGTCTCGTGTCATCGTCACCGCAAGGGCCCCTCCTCAGCAGCTCCGACTTCAGGAAGACAAAGCGGGGCATGGCGACCCCTCGAACATGCCGGAAGAGACCGACTACCAAGACCCATCTGCAAGCCTGCTCCACTCGAAACTGCCATTGTAGCCACACAAGAAGCCGCGCCAAAATCCACATCGTCGGACGGGCACCAGCCGACCACAATGTCGCGAGCGTCCAGCACATGGAATGTGCAAACGGGATTTGAAGCTCTTCAAGGCGACACCCCAAAGAGGGAAGCGACGATTGTCGACGCCGTCGCCCGACCCAGCAGGGCCTTGGGCTTTCATCCGAAGAGAGAATCCGAGGGTGTAGGAGGATGCGGGGCTCCACGACGACGCCTCCAAGGAGGTTATTCGACGCCCACAGGTGCCGACGCTGCCGGCCGGCAAGGCCGAGCAAGCTTTTGCCCGGAGCAATCCAACACCACCATCACCCCCACGCATAGCACCTCCGCTGGCCCACCCACCTCTCGAAGAGCCACCGCGCACTGGAGAGCCACCAAGCTGCACACCTCCTCGCCGGCCAAACACCACCGACG